AAGAGACATAAGAACTGGGCAGGCTGATGTTTTCCCCTGCCTTCTTCAGTCAAACAAAAGTCCTGGAAGAACTTGCTCGCATTAATGTAATGATTTGAAGTCTTCAAAAAGCTTGATAAATATATGCAAAGGCCAAGATAATGTGTTTGTTGTGTTGCAGGACTCAGCAACACTGTGCAGGATTCTGGTATAATCGCAAAATTCTGAACATTTCAGGACAGGCAAAAATCAGAAGTAAAGTCAGACTCATGAATGTAAAATTAAAAAAAGACATCAAAGAAGACTGGTGGTTTCGGACCTCCCGATATAAGATTGTATTATGAACCATGAACCAGCTTTGGATCAAAGATTGCTCCAATTTAAATAAAAGAAAAAGCCTGACTTTAGAGGGATTTCATGTAAGAGGTGGATTTTTTTTCATGTCAGGAGTGACTTGAGAAACTGCAAGTCGCTTCTGGTGTGAGAGAATTGGCCATCTGAAAGGACATTGGCTGGGGGATGCCTGGATGTTTTGATGTTTTATCATCCTTGTGGGAGGCTTCTCTCATGTCCCCTCAAAGAGAGATGGAGCTGACAGAGGGACCTCATCTGCACTTTCCCTGGATTCGAACCTCTGACCTGTTAGTCTTCAGTCCTGCCAGCACAAGGGTTTAACCCACTGCTCCACCAGGGACTCCTACGTGGAAGGCATGCGTATGTGGGTATGACAAAAAGAAAATTGAAAAGAACTTTGGAAATCATTTTGTAAGGTCAGCTTTAATTTAGATCTGGGAAAATTACAAATCGACACTCTACCAAAATACTCCAGTTTGGTTATCACCATTGGAAGCTATCCAAAAAAAACAAAATAAGGCTGGGAGGAATGGCCAACTTATAAAGAGATTCTGAAAAAACAAAAGGGAGATTACATTTTAAAATCCCAAGAAGAGATAAAAACTGTGTATTGTCGAAGGCTTTCGTGGCCGGAATCAATGGATTGTTGTAGGTTTTTGGGGTTGTAGGGCCATGTTCTAGAAGCATTCTCTCCTGACGTTTCGCCTGTATCTATGGCAGGCATCCTCAGAGGTTGTGAGGATGCCTGCCATAGATGAAGGCAAAACATCAGGAGAGAATGCTTCTAGAACATGGTCATACAGCCCGAAAAGGTTTCAACAACCCAGAGATAAAAACTACCTATAAGAACGTTTTATGGTTCCAATATAGACAAATTCAAGAACACTACTACACAGATAAAAACATTGGCTTCTCTGATAAGGATTCTATATGGAATAAAATACTCTTACTAGAAAAGAAGGTAATTACAAACATTTAAAAATTATTTTGCAGTGGTCAACAGAAACCGAACAAGTAAAAGATTGCACGACAAAATGGGCTACATGCTTTGGACATTCATCAAAAATGGAAGAATGGGAGAAGATTTGGAACAATAAATTAAAGTACACATATTCATATGATCTCAAAGAAAATTGGTATAAAATGATGTGCTAATGGTACATGACGCCTCAAATATTGGCCAAGTACTACAAAAATATTCAGGACCAATGTTGGAAATGTGGAACCCATGTGAGTACATTCTATCACATGTGGTGTTGTTGTAAAAGGGCAAAAGATTACTGGAAAAGTATCCATGAAACAATACAGGAAATACTTAAAACAAAATTCAAAATGAAGCTGGAATATTTTCTGTTAAGAATGACCGACATGAATTTCAACAAGAATCAAGAGATTTTATTCAACTACTTGGTCACAGCAGCCAGAATAATTTATGCTAGTAGGTGGAAGGTCAAAGAAACTGCAACTAAAGAAAAATTGATACTGAAAATATTGGACATAATGAATATGGACAATCTAATATACTACCTGAAGACTCACCAAAGAAAAACGAAAACAGCAACAGACTGGACTGTAGTCAAAAATGATTTGAAACAAGAAAAATTACTATAAAAATATAAAGACGGAGTGGACAAAAGCACTATGAACTGAAATAGATATATTACCCAGATGAAAAAAAAGGAAGTCAAATAATTTCCCCTGGATGATGTTTTAATTTTTTATCTTTATTTTTATTCTTTTATCTCATGCAAATACTATCATATATGTGTGTTTTTTTCCCCTTTCTCTTTTCTGTATTATTATTATTATTATTATTATTATTATTATTATTATTATTATTATTCTATTTTCTTCCACTCCCATCCCCTAATTTCCTGGAATAAAAAATAAATAAATAAAAATAAGAAACAATAAAAGTGGTAGAACTGACTCTTCAGAAGATCTGAACTCCCCCCCCAAACTGGAAAGCTATGAACTTAGATTTGGTTATCACGATTATTTCTGGTACGATAATGTGAAAATAAATAAAGAATTCAATGCCTGTTTTGTTAGAACTGTATTAAGTGTACCCTTTAATTAGAATAAAAATGTTTGCAACCTTTATTATTAAGATATTTTTTTTAAAAATATATTAACATAAAGTAACTGTACTCTTGAGAGAACTATTAGAGAACTTTGTTAATGAATGGCAACCAATGTTTCAACATCTCAATAACAATGTAAAATTAAACTTAAAATGTACACAGGGGATCCTATGAGACTGTAGTATACAAGAAGGAAGAAGATATTAATTTAGAGCCTAGGATACCTATCTGTACTATTAAAAAAGAAGACTCTGACCCCTTAAAGAAAAGATATTATGTGAGAAATAATAATGAAACACTAATAGCTGGAAAATATTGCACTGTTCACAAAAAAACACTTACAAATGTATGTCTATTTTAATAAATAAATAAATATTTAAAGAATATTTGTACATACACATAAAGTCTGTGTAGTGTTTAAAAAAAGAAGAAAAGATGACAATGTAACATAGTAAACTCTCACCTACACAATATTAATTTACTAACAAATGAAATTAAAATTTTAGATTCATATGGCAACAGTTAAAATTAGATAAAAGACATTACATAAATAAATAAACTGAAAAGAATAATTAAGAAGAGAAGACAGGAAGAATATGGGGCATGGCTACCAGTTTTAACATCGATGACAAAGAGTATTCTCTTTTTTGTTATAGAGGATATACGGAATGTTCAGTACTTTAGACAGTGTGTATAATAGTAATTGAGATGAAGATACAGATGCAATAATTACAACAAAGGCTTTTCTCCCCCCCCCCGCAAACCCCCTTCCTCGGTGACATATTATACATTTGTATAGATCTACTCTACTAACAAGAACTCCACTATCTTCATCCTTTTTTTTCATTTTTCTTTTCTTTTTGTGTGGAAAAAAACATTGAAAATGCTCAATAAAAACATATGAAAAAAACCCTGCATTAAGCGTTTGGAACAAATTTAAAACAGGATGGCCATAAGGTTGAAGCTGACAACAACAACAGCAACTTGCCACCCAATATTGTTTTAACTGGAGACACTGGGGACTAAGGGCAAGATTTCTGGCATAGAAGGCATATACTCAATCCCTGGGAGCAGCATGAAGGAAACTCAAGAGCTCCGTCACTAGTTTTGCCCATGTATCATACATTGGATGGCATGCATCAGAAGTCAGGACAACAAATGGTTTTGCTTTATCCCTGTCCAGCACAACGAGGCGGAATGTACCGTATTTTACCACATAACAGCCATCACACTTTTTAAATCCCTTTTTGGCTGAAAAAAGGGGGCACAACTATTACGCAGTAAAAAAAAAAATCTGCCTCCTTCACCGGCTCTTCACTTGGTCTGAAAGCACTGGGTTGAAGAGAGCCAGTATTGATACTCTCTTGAATCCGGTGCTCTTGGACTCAGACATAGCTGAAAGGAGACAGGCATGCAGGTGACAGAATGAAGCGGGTACTTTGGGGCAATGAATCAAGGATTAGAGTATTACTCGATGAAAGCAAAAATATCAATTTGGGGGCCCAAAAAGGGGTGTGACTATTATCCGGTGAAATATGGTAATTGGAGATGGCAAAGGACCAAAGAAAATCTGGATCTTGGCAAAAACATACAAGCTGCTGGATCTAAGGTGTATTATTTGTGATGGAACTTTGGCTCAATTCAAAAGCAGATGGAAAAAGATGTCCACTCCATATATTTACAAAGCTATTCTATCAGCACTGAGGATTAAAGCACTTTGAAGATTTCAATACAGCAGTTTTCTTCTGACATTCCCCTGCCCCAACATGCATTATAGGGGGGCTATAATTCAGGACCTTTTTGATAAAATAGCACTTATTTCTAGAAAAAAAAGATTATTCGAGTTTATCAAGTCTCTGGAACTGGAGTGAGAGAGAAAACTTCTATATTCCGTCATCTAAATGGATGTTATTGTCTTTCAACTGGCCCTCGAAAGGCCAAGCTGAAAGGGGGGATTAAATCAATAGAAAACATATTACAATCTTAAAAGCTGCCAAGACAAAAAGCAAAACAAAACAAAAAACAAAACAAAAAACAAAGACAAGAAAGGACTTTTTAATCACCCCAAAACCTTTTCCTACGACAACAAGGATTCTTGAAAAAAAATATATAGGCCAATGAGACAAATGCACTTTCAAATATGACTTATGGACTTTCTAACAGTCGTAGCTCCCCAAGTGTTTGCCTATCAATATGCAGGGGGCCCAGGGAGAATGATGGGAAGCTGCAAATTGCCCATTAGGTGTCCCGGCCACTTCCACTGAGGAGGCAACAGAGAACCTTTTACAGGAAGCGTTGTCCTTCCAGTCAGGACATTAGCATTGATTGGATGAGAAATAGCCGCTCCAGCTGAGCACTAAAAGCTTGAAGGCAAAACACGATTGTTCACCCCTTGGCCCTGACCCTCCCGCCCCAATGTAAAAGTGCTGGCGACATTAATAAAAGTTATCTCAAGACACAATGTTCCCTCCAGCCATGCCTGCCTGACTCAGCAGAGAAGCTCTTTATTGGGCCCTTAGGGTTGGGGCTGGACACAAATCCCTGCCTCCCCCTTCCACCCTCCTCAGCGGTTTATGCACTCACCATCTCTATCGAGAGCAGTAGGGCTCCTGTGCTGGGTACTGGGGCTGCTGCTCAGTAGGGGCTCCCTTCCTGGTTGTTGCTGCTGTTGCTGATGGGGAGGCAGATGGGACTGCCTGCTCTGGGCTGCGTCCCCCCGGGCAGACTCATGGGCCATCGTGATCTGCTGCTGGTAAAGGGCCAAAGCATGGGGAGGCACCTGGGACTTCATGCTTCCACTCTGTAAGGCTCCCTCCAAGAGCTCTTCTGAAATCTGCAGAGATGAGATGGTTTGGGAGGGGGGGAAAAGCCAGAGCGGTTTTGCCATCCGTGTCAGGCAGAGACAAGCATAAATAAGCACCCAAAAGGCCACACTTCAGGTACTTCATGCTTTTGAGAGCAGCAAGCCATTTTCCCAAGATGATTCTGCCCTATAGAATGGCACGCACTTTTTTCTTGCTCGGCGGAAACTCATGGTTGCCCTGGAAACCACTCAAAACACAAATACACTCAAAACACAATAGTTTACAGAGGCCAATGCCATGTAGGCAGCACTCCCCAAAAGCTAGATTCAAAATGCAAACAGGGTCATCTGTAGCTCCCACTGACTCTTTTAACAACTTGCAATTGATTGTCAATATGATGCAAGTAAAACTGCTTTGTGTCGGGGACTCAGTTTTTGGCACTACTCACAATGGGTGGGATGGCGGCAGCTCTTTGCTTCAACTGCTTCAAGTCTAACGGCTTCTGAGGTGAGCAATTGAGCCGGGTCTCATTAGTCACATTGAGGAGACTGGGACGGGGAGAGAGCAACCTGAAAGGAAACACAAAGCCGAGCATTCACAGTCGTTCCAAATGCCACTCAAGAGATCAATACTTCCAGTGGCAGAGAAAGAGAGGACTGTGCTAAAAGAAATATCAGAGCAATGGTTTATATAGGACTTCTCTGCACCTCCGCTACTACAAACTTATGTCCCCTGTAACTCGCACTGCCTCTTCTAACAGCTTGCTACAAACAGTACATTGATGCAAAGTTTGGAAAAAGTTACCCATGATTGTGTGAGGGGGGATTCTGACAGTTGTAGTCCAAACTTTTCTATGTGCTACATTCATTATATTGCACTTAACTCAGATAAAGTCACATACAAGTTCAAAGAATCCAAATTAATTATATTTTGTTATGAATGAATGCGACCAATGTGACCAACCCGAACACAAGTGAAACCTGAGCATCATTTGACTGCTGCTCCCCCAAATGCCAGATCCAGGTGGTACCATCTTGACCTCAGTGTACCCCAAGCAAGAAGCAGATGTCCCACAGAAGCGGCAGGCAGAGCAAGATAAAGCTAGGTGACTCAAGGTAACAACCCAAGCTAGATACACTGCAGGAGAAGGCAAAGCCACTCCAAGGTCAGCAGCAAATCTAATGTGAAAGGAAGAATTTCTTTCCAAATACACTGATCTATCATGACACAATCAAAGGCAAATACCAATCCAACAGCAAGTGTGGAATAACCCTGGCTGACACAGCAAGAACAAAGGAGAGTTGAGGCAAAGGGAGCTAATTGTTAACCAGCAAGTTCTAGTTCTGTTCTTAGTTAGTGTTATGCTATGCAAGAGAGAGATAAAAATCAGGCTTGGACCCTGCGGAGAGAGAAGGGGGAAAGGAAATGGAATGGAGGATGGCCATTAGCATCTGGATTAGCAACAGCAAAAAAGCACAGAATACAAGGACATTAAACAACTCTGAAAGTCAAGAAAGTGCTTCATTATTTGGGGGGGGGGGGTGTCAGGAAGGGAGAGCCAGCAGTTTCCGCCGCAGGATCAACAGCTTAATGAGCTCAATAACCTGTTCAAGGATGGTTCAGACAAATGAATAAATGGCTCACAGATGTGCAGCCAGATACTATTTGCACTACTCCAAGATAATGACAAGACCCAAGATACAAAGCAAGCCTCTCGGAAGCTCCTTCTTCAACATTGTAAGCTGGGCGAACCTCCCACACTTGAACTAAAAATAAAATGTAATATTATGATTACTATGATTAGAGAAATGAGTTTCTGGTCCTTCAAAACATGACAAACAAAAATGGGCCTCCAACGAGTACGGTAAGGAAACAGTCTTTCTAGCTGTTCTGGGAAGCATCTGCCAAAGATGCATGCTAGAACTTCCTCCAGAATGTCCAATTGTTTCCTCCTGCCTGCCTTTCCCGGTATCAGTGTCAGGGAACAGTAATGTAGTCAGCAGGTATTTGGAAATTATGGGAGGGTAAGATCCGCAATGCTGGAAGAGTAATAGATTGTTGGATTTGGCTATAGAAGTTGCCCTGGATAAGGTTTCTGTGTGGCTCCCTCACAAATTTCAATTGTTTAACATTCTTACTTCTCTCTTAGTAACGAAGCATAACCATTAACTTATGTCTGTACGGGCTAGTTTTGTGCATTCATTTACAGTTAGCATGACCTACAGCTGAACTTTCATTCCTAGCACTCTCTCTAGTCTTTATAAAATATTTATGTAAAGATAATTATCTCTGGGAACTATTTTTTTAAAAACTGAGAAGAGATAAGAATGGCTATTATCTTAACTTTAACTTGGCAATAGCCAGGAAGACTTGCAGAATGATGGGAGAAGAGTGAGGAAAGACTCCCTGAGTGGCACTACTATAAGCTGTGCTTGACCCCACAGCTTTCCTTAGGGCTTTCTCTTACAAGAATGAAAATACACAAACTGATTTTTGTCATATTTTTTATCTGACTGTACGTTTTCTTCTAACTGCCAAAAGCCACAATAAACGCCACTGAACTACACTCAAGTATAGATCTACTTACAACCTACAAAGCTAAGAGGGGCTCAAATGATCAGAGTGTAGTTAGGAAAGTTACTTTTTAAGATATTATTCCCAAAATGGGAATTTTCACAAGCTTTAGTTCAGAGAGAGCATGATACTCCATACCTTATTCTGGGATCAAGCAAAAAACTAAAAACAAAAACAACCCCCCCCCCCCCCCCCCCCCCCCCCCCCCACACACACACACAAAAACACCCATGGCCACTATGGCCATGCTCTTGTTACATCCTGAATAGATTACTGCAACGTGCTCTATTTGGGATTGCCTTTGAAGACTGGAAGCTTCAAATGGTCCAGTGGGCGGAAGCCAGACTGGGCACACAACCCCCAGTTACACCAACTCCACTGGCTGCCAGTTTGCTACCAAACACAATTCAAAGTGCTGGCTTTAGCCTATTAAGCCCTAAACCAGTGGTTCTCAACCTGTGGGTCCCCAGGTGTTTTGGCCTACAACTCCCAGAAATCCCAGTCAGTTTACCAGCTGTTAGGATTTCTGGGGGTTGAAGGCCAAAACATCTGGGGACCCACAGGTTGAGAACCACTGCCCTAAACGGTTCTGGTCCAGCTTGCCTGTCTGAATCTATCTCCCTCTATGACCCACCGCGGAAGTTAAGATCACCTGGGGAGGCCCTGCTCTTGATCCAACCACCTTCCCAAGCGCAATTGGTGGGGGTGAGAGACACAGCCTTTTCAGTGGTGGCCTCCCATCTATGCAACTCCCTCTCCAATGCAATCAGGTCAGCTCCCTCTCTCCTGTCTTTCAGGAAGAAGCTTAAGCCATGGCTGTGGGAGCAAGCATTCAATCAGTAAATAGTGCAATAAGGATAATGGACTAATGGAATTGACAATTGGATAGGCCTTGGACTACAATCTGGATTACATGATTTTAATTGATGCTTTAATAATTAATGTTTAATTGTATGGTTTTAATTGTATTTTTTTATTTTTACATTTATATGTCTTACCATTGAATCACTGCCTGCTGTAAGGCTGCCCTAAGTCCCCCTTTAGGGTGAGAAGTGCAGGATACAAATATGTGAAATAAATAATCTATATAAATAAAAATGTAATGTTCGTTTGTGGGATTAACAGAACTCAAAAACCACTGGACGAATTGCCGCCAAATTTGGCCACAAGACACCTACTAACCCAAGGAGTGACCATCACTTAAAAAAAATGATTTTGTCACTTGGGAGTTATAGTTGCTGGGATTTATAGTTCACCTACAATCAAAGAACATTCTGAACTCCACTGATGATGGAATTGAACCAAACTTGGCACATAGGACTCCCACAACCAACAAAAAATTCTGGAAGGGTTTGGTGGGCACTGACCTTGTGTTTGGGAGTTGTAGTTCACCTACATCCAGACCACCTGCTGCAATGCAACCTGAGCCCTGCCACATGCACAATGGAGGACCTTCTTGCAGCAACACCAGAGGCACTCCAAGTGGCCAGCTACTAATCAACTACCAAGCTTGCAAACTTTGTGTTTTGTTTGTCTGTCTGTTTGTTTGTTAAAAATGCAATGCAAATGTCTGGTCTGCCCCTGACACAATAAATAAATACCTACATCCAGAGAGCACTGTGGACTCAAACAATGATGGATCTGGACCAAACTTGGCACGAATACTCAATATGCCCAAATGTAGACACAGATTAGTTATCCCAGTAACTATATTTGAGAGTTGTAGTTACTGGGATTTATAGTTCACCTACAATCAAAGAGCATTCTGAATGCAACCAACAATAGAATTAGGCCAAATCTCCCACACAGAACTCTCAGGACCAACGGAAAATACTGTGTTTTCTGGTGGTCTTTGGCAACCCTTCTGACACCCCCTCTCAACCTCCCCAGGGGTCCCAAACCCCAGGTTGAGAAATGCTGCCTTAAGGCCATCTAGTTCAACTCCCTTCACCAGGGCAAGAAAACATCATCAAAGCCCTCCTGACAAAGAGCCATCCAGCTATAGATATAGATAGATAGATATGATTCACACACACATGTATATGACAGATATAATATCATAGATTTGAAAGGAACCTCTAAAGAATAATATGTTCCATGGTAGGCAAACCAGATAATCTCTACATCAACACTGATAAAGAAACAACAAGAAGTACTGTTTACCCACAAGCATAAAGACATTACATATATGAGAAACCAACACTTTCTCATTACTTTATTTTTCAGATCACCAGACTGGGCCACAGCAACGCGTGGCAGGGGACGGCTAGTAATACATAAATATGGTGGACTCCCCAAGGATATCTGTGCGGACTTCTTCCAATCAGATATTTTTAGAAAACAAGATACCGGGCCAGATAGGCTTTTAAAGATTCTTATGTTTAGCAGAAGTCAAGAAAAATGGGCTAACTTCACTGCAGCATTTCTCGTGGGCTGGCCATAGACTCAAGACTTAGCAAGACCATAGATCTCTGGAATATCAGAAATCTATTATCTTCTGGAAATAATCCAGTCACTCATGTGGTGATGAGCAGTTGGCATGGAAGAGTGCAATACTAGAAGTGGCACATTAATACTGGTTTAGGGTTCAGCAGTAAATTATACTGGGTCGCCTGTTAAAAAAACCTAGAAGAAGCCCAACTAGAGGGGAAGTGTTATCTTGCTTCTGGCACATCTCAAAATCCCAGGCATCAACGTTAATTTTTTAACAAGTTTTGGTAAACCCCAGCATGTAGAACTTCTTTGTTTTTAACTATATAACGGCAATTCCTTCATGTTTTCCAGTACATTTGCTCCTCACTTACTTGTTTTTGTCTCCAGCTTCCTGTTCCTCCATCTCATCGGCACTGCAGGTAGCACTGGAATCACTGTCAGCATTAGCAACTCCAGTTTTCCCAATTTTGTGGCTCTCTTTTTTATCTGCCTTCCCTGCTCCCTCAGTCCCTGACATGCTGCCGCTGTTCTCCGCTTGTGTCTCATTGGCCCTGTCCTTTTCCTGACCATCCTCGGTGTCCTCCATTTTGATGTCATCCCCATCAGGCTCTGGGTTCTTGGGCTCTTGCTCTGTCTCCTTGGTTTTCAACACATCAGCTGATGGTTCCTCCTGTGGAGTCTCTTCACTTCCAGTTGGTTTGGTGGTGGCTTCCTCAGGCGACTGGGTGATGGGGGCCACAGAATTGGCTTCTGAGGAACTAGTGGCTCCCTCCAGTTTGACACCCAGTTCTTCATCAGCGTTGCTTTTCGCCTCAGGGCTGAGCCTGGGCCCATTTTCTGTGTTTTCTTTGGCTTCAGGTCTAGGAGAAGGAAGGCTCTCTGTGTCTGAACTGTTATTTACTGTAGCTGGAATTAAATAAAAGAGATACATTTTCTATTTGTATCAACATAAAAAGCAGGGGGTAGGCAACAGTGGAGAAATAGAAAGTGCTGCTACATTTTTAACTGTTCAGAAATCACTTTCAGTATGATTTTCTGGGTCTTTTCAAAGCATTTTCCCCATCAGATATAGGTTCGCGGCCACAGAGAAAGTTACTGTAACGCACCACTCCAGGTAGCATTTTTAGCCATGTTTTTGGGAAATCTGGGGGATTTAGGAAGCTAAACAATGGGAGCAAGGAAGTCACACATTCATCAACATATATAAAACATGGCTGAGGAACCTCAACATTGGCCTGACTGGCAAAGACTAATGGGAAGTGAAGCCCAATGAGACCTGGCAGGGCAGAGGTTTCACCATCCCAATATAAAGTTATAAAGACCCACCCAAAGAATTCGAGAAGAGATCTCACTGCGGAGTTCCACAAGGTGTTGATGTGTTAATGACATTAATTTTCAAATTATTATGGCCAGAGAAAGCTATTGATTTCTGAGAAAGCTTATTTTTAACTCTACAGACTGAATGAGGGATAGCAGGAAAAGAACTGTGATGTTAGGTTTATATAATCAAAATGAACTAAGTAAGTTAAAAGTTGTGTACCGTACATCCACTGATTCAGTGGGTCTACTTTAGTTGGCACCAATGACAGGATTCAACTTGTAATAATTTCCCTAAACTACTCTGTAATGTATACTTACTGCATATATAGAATGAAAAGTGATTTATGGCAAAAAAAATCAGATGGAGGTTTGATCTTTCATTTTAAATGAATTGTTTTCAATATGCTTGTCTTGTGTGTCTACTACAGACCTCAGAGCCAGGATGAAGAACTCTGTCAACAGTTGACCAAACAGGCACAAAGAGGAGATATAGCAGTCATTTGAACTAACCTGACATTTACTGGGGGAAAAAACTCAGCCAAGAGTACGAAGTCCATCCAATTCCTTGCTTGCCTTGCAGACAATTTTATGGCCCAGAAGGTAGAAGAGGCAACAAGGGGTTCGGTTACTTTCAATCTCATCCTAATAAATGAGGATGAACTGATCAATGCAGTTGAAGTGGTCGGATCCTTGGGGCGAGTGGCCATGTGCTCCTGCAGTTTGTGATACGAAGGGAGGCTGAAACTAAGGCAAGTCAAACTTGCATTCTGGGCTTTCGGAGAGATGACTTCCGAAAAATGAAGGAAATGTTGAGCAGCATTCCATGGATGCCAATACTAGAGGACAAGAGCTTTATGGATGGATGAGAGTTTTTTAAGAATGAAATACTCAAAACGCAATTGCAAACAGTGCCAACAAAGAGAAAAAATAAGACAAGTGCAAAGAAGCCAGAATGGATGCCCAAAGAATTTCTAACTGGACTAAGACTCAAAAGAGACATGCACAAGAAGTGGAAAAGGGGAGAAATCACCAAAGAAGAATTCAAACAAATCACCAAATCGTGTAGGGAAAACATTCACAAGGCTAAAGTGCAGAATGAGCTCAGGCTTGCCAGGGACATTAAAAACAATAAAAAGGGCTTATTTGCTTACATCGATAAAAAAAGGAAGAACAAGGAGACGATATGGTCTCTGTGAGGAGAAGATGGAGAAATGCTGGTAGGGGATAGGGAAAAGGCAGAACTACTTAATGCCTTCTTTGCCTCAGTCTTCTCATAAAAATAAAGCCGTCCTCAACCTCAGTAACATGGAGTCAATGAAGGATCCAATGAAGAAATCAAAACCCAAGTAGGGAAACAAGTCATCCAGGAATATGAGTTCAAGTCCCCAAGGCCAGATCAACTACATCCAAGAGTATTGAAGGAACTAGCGGAAGTCATTTTGGAACCACTGGCAATCATCTTTGAGAGTTCTTGGAGAATGGGACAAGTCCCAGCAGATTGGAGGAGGGCAAACGTGGTCCCGATCTTCAAGAAGGGAAAAAAGGACAATTACGGTACCGTCCGGTCAGCCCCACATTGATACCAGGCAAGATTCTGGAAAAGATCATTAAGGAAGTGGTCTGTAAACAGTTAGAAAAGGAATGTTGTAACTGCACTGGCATTGAATTGTTGCCTATTGTTAACCGCTCCGAGTCGCCCTTGGGCTGAGAGGGTATAGAAATGTAGTAAATAAATAAATAAATAAATAATGCAGCCCTCGCTAATAGTCAACATGGATTTATCAAAAACGAGTCATGCCAGACTAATCTGATTTCTTTTTTTGATAGATTTACAAGCTGGGTAGATGCAGGGAACGCCGTGTATGTAGTATATCTGGATTTCAGGAAGGCCTTCCTTCAACAAGGTCCCCCATGACCTTCTGGAAAACAAACTAGTCAAATATGGGCTAGGCAAAACTATGGTTAGGTGGATCTGTAATTGGTTAAGTGAATGAACCCATCCTGGAAAAAAGTGACGAGTGGAGTGCCATAAGAAAGATTCCATCCTGGGCCCAGTCCTGTTCAACATCTTTATTAATGACTTAGATGAAGGGTTAGACGGCATGATCATCAAATTTGCAGACAACACCAAATTGGAAGGGATACCTAATACTCCAGAAGACAGGAGCATAATTCAAAACGATCTTTACAGATTACAAAGATGGGCCAAAATTAACAAAATGAAGTTCAAAAGAGACAAATGCAAGATACTCAACTTTGGCAGAAAAAATGAAAGATACAGAATGGGGGACACCTGGCTCGACTGGAGTCCTCATGGATAACAAGTTAAACATGAGCCAACAACGTCATGTGGCACCTTTAAAAGCCAATTGGGTTTTGGCCTGCATAAATAGGAGCCTAGTGTCTTGATCCAGGGAAGTCGTGCTACCCTTCTATTGGTTAGACCACACATGGAATCACACTGTGTCCAATTCTGGGCACCGCAATTTAAGGGAGATGTTGACAAGCTGGAATGTGTCCAGAGAAGGGTGACTCAAAAGATCAAGGGTCTGGAGAACAAGCTCTATGAGGAGTGGCTTAAAGAGCTGGGCATGTTTAGCCTGCAGAAGAGAATGCTGAGAGGAGACATGATGAGGGCCATGTATCAAGAGGTGAGGGGAAGTCATAGGGAGGCGGGAACAAGCTTGTTTTTCTGCTGCCCTGGAGACTACACACAGAGTAATGGCTTCAAACTACAGGAAAGGAGATTCCGCCTGAACATGAGGAAGAACTTCCTAACTGTGAAAGCTGTTCAGCAGTGTGGTGGAGGCTCCTTCTTTGGAGGCTTGTAAACAGAGGCTGGATGGCCATCTGTTGGGGGTGCTTTGAATGCAATTTTCCTGCTTCTTGGCAGAATGTGGTTGGACTTGATGGCCCACGAGGTCTCTTCCAAGTCTATGATTCTATGCTACCCTTATGACTTTTCTGGAGCATTCAGGCATATATACATATGCAAATACCCGATATACTTTTCTCATCCTACATAAATGGGGATGGCTCAGCATTCACTGCTATCATTGATTCACAGGCTTGCGATGAAAATACTTTTTCCAACATTGAGCTACTTTAAATGTATTGTAAGGTGCCAAATTTGAAAAGCACAATACAAATATTGTACCACTAGTTCCTTCACAAACTACATTACTAATGTTGTTCAGTCACACATTATAACATGAAAATATCAAAGCAAAATGTGAAAAAAGTATGTTTTGGAGCAAATCTGAAATAATTTTGGGGTTTAGAATGCCAAATTCCTATAAAACCAGCATATATTTCTTGAGATGTTTTTATGATCCTCCATTTTGCAGCCCTGTGGTACTTATATGCCTTAGACGTATTGTATTGCTTCTACTGTTAGCCGCTTTGGGTCGCTTTTTAGAGTGATAAAGTGGAGAAGAAACAACAACATACTAGTCGCTGTATAGATTAAAAAAACAAAAACATTCCCACAAAAGTCCCTGTCTGGAAGGCTCTAACTTAAAATGGCCGTTTACTTAAAATGACAAAACTTATGGTAAAATTTTCATCATTTTCTTGAAATATTCTGGAAGAAACCATGATTTCTGGTCATATGCTCCAAATCACTAAAGCCCTTCTTGAATGTTTACTATTTGTATAGTGAATAGTACCTGATCAGGGCTTAGACTTTTGTGAATCTGGGTTTACTCCAAAATGTAATTCTTGAATTGTCATAAAATAGTTTCTGATTCCCAAAATGGAAGCAGCACCTTTTTGCTCACAGACTCGCAAACCTCATTAGACGCACTTTAAACTAGGTCCACCAGAGGAGGGGGACAACAGCCTTGCAAGCAGTACTTTAGCACAATGTCAGAGAAAGACTAAACGGAGGGTTGGATGGACACAAGGACCAAGTACCAAAAACACAATAATCGCAAATAAACAGCTCAAGGGAAGATCTCAGGGGCTCACATGTCTTTACACTAATGCACAGAGCATGGGAAATAAACAAGACGAACTCCAACTTTTAGCACAACACCACAAATGTGATATCATAGGGATCACTGAAACCTGGTGGGATGACTCCTATCGCTGGAATGTAGATATCGAGGGGTATAACCTCTTTCACAGAAACCGAACAAAGGGGAGAGGAGGCGGAGTAGCCTTATATGTCAAAAACTCTTATGCTGCAGAAGAGATTCAAGACAGCAATCTGGGAAACCAGCTTGAAATCATCTGGATAAGAATCAAGGGAACTGGGACTCAAAAAGATGTCGTTGTAGGCGTCTACTACAGACCCCCAAGCCAGGAGGAAGAACTTGATGAAGTCTTCTGCCAACAGTTGACCAAACAGGCACAGAGAAGAGATGTAGTAGTCATGGGCGATTTCAACTATCCCGATATTTGCTGGAAAACAAACTCGGCCAAGAGTACAAGGTCCAACAAATTCCTCGCTTGCCTTGCAGACAATTTCATGGTCCAGAAGGTAGAAGAGGCAACAAGGGGATTGGCTACTCTTGATCTCATCCTACCAAATGCGGAGGACCTGATCGATGCGGTCGAAGTGGTAGGATCCTTAGGGGCAAGTG